AATGTGATCTGGTGTGACGTAGGTTTTAGAAAAACATTTGCTTTATCATGCCAACGTTTCGATCTTTATTGCGATCATCTTCAGGGCTTAAAGTGTTTGTTTTCCGTGTTGATGTGAAAGTGCCCACACGACACACACTGACATATCTCCACGGAAAACGAACACTTTAAGCCCTGAAGATGATATCAATAAAGATCGAAACGTTGGCATGATAAAGCAAATGTTTTTCTAAAACCTACGTCACACCAAACTGCATCTCACGATCTCAGAATAATCTGATACAATTTAACTCAGGCACTGAGATCCTACAACCATCTTCGAAAACCTAATTGTTTTTGCCAGGAAGTTCCAACCAAAAACTGGAACAACTTTAATTGCAGGCATTCAGACAGATGGAGATTCGACGCACTGCAGCGTCAAGAAGTTCCTGGCAGGCGTATTCATTAGAATTAATCTCAAATGGCTTCTTTGATTGCTTTTTAAAGTTTGTTTAATGCATCGAAAGTTCTTTCTTAAATAATAGTTTTGTATTTAATTCTCTGGACCATCATCTTCAAAAATATTGATACTTGTATTGGTTAAATAATTAATTTATGTAAAAATGTGTTTGGATTAAGATATAAAGAAGGAAGTTTATGGGCCGAAAAACAGATGAGGTTTTCTTCTTTTTCTCTTCTTTCGCGCGTATTTGTTTTAGACTGCAGTCATTGGAGCGTCTCGATCTGGTTACTGACCTCTGATTTCAAATATGTACTACATTAATATCCTGGAATGCTAGCATCTCATTTGTACGTCAGGTTGTCAAATAGAGAATAGAAACAAAACATACAATACGTATATATACATCACCACAAACATAGACGTCTGGTCACATTCACTCCCCCAGAGTACTCGATACTCCTCGGGGCGGGGTTGAACCAACTCCATTATCATTAATAACTTAATTTTACACTCCAGACGTCATACACTCACCCCATAGTACTCGATATTCCTCGGGGCGGGGTTATAAGCAACACCTTCCTTTCACGCTAATAAATTACGTTCGTTACAATAAATTAACACACACACAACACTCGATAGAGACATAGACGTCTGGTCACATTCACTTCCCCAGAGAACTCGATATTATTCGGCGCTGGGTCGAATTACTCCATTCATGCTAATAATGACTTTTACTCTCCAGACGTCATACACTCACCCACTAGTACTCGATTTCCTCGGGGCGGGGTTGAACCCACTCCATTCTCATTAATAACTTACTTTTACCCTCCAGACGTCATACACTCACCCCAGAGTACTCGATTTCCTCGGGGAGGGGATTTGGATTAAGAAAAACACCTATCCTAACGACACTTTTGTTGCGTATGTCACTCTCTCGCCCCAGATACATACCCCATAATTTTCTTCCTTCCAATAATGCCATGTTTACATTTTTGTTATCGAAAGGTAATCTTGTATAGTTGGTGGTATATAGATGCAAGTTTACACGACTGCTTACTAACTACTGTCTAATGCAAAACTTAGAAACTGGACAGTATCATTGCTGTTATTTGCTACAATGCACTAATAAATTGCTTTTTGTTATATTTTTTAAAATTCATTTATTTATTTACAACCGCACTTTAAATATGCAACAAGCAAAAATATTGAAATCGTTATATTTCAAATTTAATATACCATATTTAAAACTAAGAAGTTGGCATTGAAATAATCATAAATATAACTATCATAGATACTTGAGTTTACATATCACAGCTGATAAAATTACTGTCACCGACCAATTAAACGGTTCCAACTTTCTACAAGAGCACAAAATTCGTTTAGATAAAAAATTAAAAAATAAATCCTAAAATTGACCCTTGTGACACTCCATATTCAACTAAACCCTGACTAGAGCTAACTCCATTTATCACAACATTTTGCTTTCTACTAATGATAAAGTTTTTAGAGAAGTCAAGCCACACCACGAACTTCATAATAATTAATTTATTTAGTAAAATATCGTCGCTTTTGAACTATGTGATTGATATCCTTTTTCTTTATGTGATTGTATTCAACTCTCACCTTTTCTGACTTGAAAATGACAGTTTGCCGTGGTTCAGTTCAATCGGTGAATTGTCGATCGTCCAATAGAGACCCCTGGGGGTCAACCTGGATCAATCGGATTCAAACGAAATCGAGAGCAGCCGGCTAAGAGCCGTTTTGAGGAGCGGGAGGGAACTAGAAAGCGAACGTGTTAGAGGAGTGTGCACTCTGGAAATTTGGAAAAGCTCTTTATCCGTTCTGACCCTTTTAGGCATTCTCCCTTGGAGTGTTGAAATCTGCTGCGTGTCCAGAGACTTTTGAGGGGGGAAGGAAAAGCAGCGAAGCTTGCAGCTTGAACACACGAACCTACGCTAATTGGCCGGCCAGCCGAGCGTGACCTGGTGCGAAAAATAATCAGAGAAACTCGGGGATTAAACTGACGGAAAACAAACTTCATTTCATTTGCGACACTCTCACGGCATAAACATCTTGTATTGAACATTTATTCAAAATTTATCGAGCAACGATCGTCTAAATCGCCACAATTCACGAAAATTTGGTTGACGCTGTACATTTCTTTTGTGTATAAAAAAAATTTAAATGTTTTAAATTGGGAAATTGTGGAATTTGTATTTAAAAAGTACAACCTACAAAATCTGTAGTTTTTTAGTTGATGACAGACTGAAAACAGCTAGAATGTAGGCAAAAAAGTTGAAACCACCGATTGATTTTATTTAAATAAAAAATAAACAAATAAATAATAATTATGCTGGTGGTAGTTGTTGGTTTGCGAGTCGGTTTTCATATTTTACACACATTTAAAGTAACGTAACCTGACTGGCTATGCTAAATTGATAGTGGTGGTTTTATACTGTAAATATAATCAACAAGGTGAGCAAATAATATAAAAGATAAACTCATACACACACACACACAGCATTTTTCCCCATATTTCTTGGGCTTTCTCCCTTGCTCTCTCTCTCTATCTCTTTCTCTCTTATCTCTTTTTCTTTCTCTTTCACACACACATAGACACCCTCTCTCCCCCTTTTTCTAGGAGTTTCTCCATCGCTCTCACTTATCACATCCTCTTTTTCACAAAAAAATGTTTTGTTCTTCTTTCTTGTTTTATTTCCCCCTTCATCACATTCTCTCAAACATACTCTCTACCCCTCTCAATTACTCTCTCTCTTTCTCTCTCTCGTATTCTTTTCTTTCTCTCTCCATCTTACTTTATTTTTTTATTCATTTTCTTTCTCACACTTTCTTTCTTGGTATTTTATCACGCTCTCTTTCTTATCTCCTTTTCTCTCTCACTCTCCCTCTTTCTTTCTCTCTCACGCACATACACACCCTCTCACTTCTTTTTTTGAAGTTTCTCCCTCGCTCTCACTCATCACATACTCTTTTTCACAAAAAAAAAAAAAAAAAAAAAACACACAATCACCCTCCTGTTCTTATCTTTCTTGGTTTATTTCTCCCTTCATCGCGGTCTCCCAAACATACTGTCTATCCCACTCAATCTCTCTCTCTCTCTCTCTCTCTCTCTCTCTCTCTTTCTCTCTTTGTCTTCTTTGTCTCACTCTCTGTCACTCTTTTTTCCCCTCCATAATCACACACACACACACACACACACACACACACATTCTCTTTCTCTCTCTCACTATCTTTTTTGGGTTTTCTACCTCGCTCTCTCTCTCTCTCCCACTCTCTCTCTCGCTCTCTCTCCCATTCTCAATCCCTCTCTCTCTGTTTATTTTTTTATTCATTCTGTGATGGAAGATTCTGTATTTGTTTTTAATAACATTCTGTATTAATAATGCTATACTTATCCAAAATCTTCGTAATGAACAATATCAATGCTACTTTTTTCAGACGATACATTCTCTGGTAGATTATTGCAGAATTTTAATTGTTAACGTTTATCAATGGCTCACGCATAGAAAAGTCTAAAATTCGCAATGAAATATTTCATTTTTTCTTATTTAATTATTATTATGCTTAAAAAACATATTACAAGTCATATTACAAATTTTGTTAATGTAAACGAATTTTGACTTATGTTAAATTCTCAATAATATATCTTAAATCTTACCATACTTGCTGTTGAAATCAAGCATTAAAACTATAGATCTTGTTAAACCTGCTATACTATTGTTTATTAAAAATTGTTATTTTATTTTTTATTTTTATGGTTGAGCATTGAAAATAACGAAGGTCAAACAAATGAAAAAACGTATATTCAAATAGTTAAAAATTATTTTTATAATGAATATTATTTACTGAAACTGATTTTCAGTTTTTATGAAAAGTGTGGTTGAGATGGAAAAAGGTGTTACGAGCGGGACTGGAACCCACGACCTTTGGCACCAACTCATCGTAAATATTCAACACCAATATTACATAAAAATAAATATATAAATTCAAATGATCACTTTGGTTAACTAGAACCAACTAAAAACATATAGATTAATATAATTATAATATAACGAACGAATTTGCTTCGTTGAGCCGAACGGTGTTTATCAATTTCTCGTTTTTTTAAAGTTTTTTTTAAATTTTAGGTTTTCTTTTATTTCATATTAAATACTGTCATGCTATTTGTCTGAAATGCAATTTGTAAGTGTGTTTAAAAAGGTACAAAGGTTCGATTATTTCATAAGATTTTTTACCTTGTTTTTTTGATTCGTTGGTTCTTCGTGTTTTATGTCTATTTGAATGATGACACACTTGCTTTTTCTTAAATTGAATTTGCCCTTCAAACATTCAATTTTGGTTCCAACGTAGTATTTTGTTATTTTTTTAAACTAGACTTACCTCACGATTCAAACAATTCCTTTTGCGCTTTTGGTAGGAAAGTTAAAAAAAACCAAGAAATTTAAATAATAAATTATAAACGTTTGTATTTTTAATTATTCACACAATTTTTGGATAAGGTTTATTAAATAAAGTTGACGAACATGACTGAATAATTATGTATTAAATAAACACACAATTCAATTCAATGGCTTCAAATATTAATAAAATTATGTAACAAGAAAAAACATATTATATTACAACAGGATGTGCTAGATTTCCTAACCAGTGAGCTTAAAATATTAAACATAATAAGAAAATGAGCATGTCGCTTGATTTTCATCTTTCAATTTTCAGTCACAATCGCTTTGGTTTCACCCCTTCGAAGGGGTGGAGAGGCTTAAAATTACAATAAAACACACTCAATAAAACAAGGGCATCGATATTTACAAAGGGTTCTTCATTAAGTTAGGATTGGTGTAAAGGAGGAGGCCTAAGACCTATTGGGGAGTGCCTTTGGTTTTTCCTGGACAGTTCTTTGGCCAGGATGGCGTTGAGAGCGGCTTGCTCTTTCTGGAGATCGACTGGTCTGTGAGACTGGGTGATCGGTGGTACGACGATGGGCGATGAGGAGAAAGAAGATCCGGCCTTTTCAGCGTCTTTCGGCTTCCTCTGCGGAGATTTGGGTGTCTTCGGTTTTTCCTTCGGAGCGTTGAAATTATGTCCATGGAACGACGGCGTAAAATGGTCGTTGAACGTGGGAATGGGCGGCGCGACGAAAGAATTGAAGTTCAGCGAGTTCTGGGGGATCGGGTTGTTGTACATCCCTGCAAAACTGCCCCAGTTGAAATCCACATTGGTGAGGGTCTGTAGAGGGATGACGATAGCATGAACCATCTGCCCTTGTCCTTTCGAGTCAGGGATGAAAACTGGCACGGGCGCTGAGTACCCCATGCTCTGGTAGAAATTCATCAAGTCGAATCCCCTTCCTTTAGGTTTAATGGAAAACTGTTGGGTTTCCGGGGCGAAACCAGACTGCAGAGGAAGAGCCAAAGGCGGGTTGGCCATGGCATTGCTAAAGTCGAAAACGTTGCTTTGAGTGAGAGCATGGTTGTGGTCGAAGGTTCCTTTACCTTCGGTGGGTATGTTATTTATGTCAGGGATTTTGTTGTTCATGTAAAACACGGAAGATCCGCCGTTCTTTAGCACGCTTATCTGTGGCGACGCTCCTCTTTGTTTAGAATCGGGTATTCTGTACAAAAGAGGCTTCTTTTTCTCTAAATCTTGTGACATTTCCACGCCTTCGTTCAGTTGCTTCCAGACGGATTTTTGACCGTTTATGTGGAGCTTGACATCCTTGGGTTTTCCAAAGACGACATCGTCTGATATGGGCTGTCCGAACCCGATGCTGTACCCGACGTTGAATGAACTAGGTGATTCCCCACCTCTCGTACTTTTCAGCTTCTTCTTTTGCTCGTATCTTTTCACTTTCTCTGCCTCGCCGAATTTCTGCGGTTCTTTTTGTAAAAGGGATTCCATCAAGTCCTGGGACATTCCGGGAGGAGGGTGAGCTTTGGGTTTTGGATTTTTGGTTACGTCAGGTCTGTATGCAGGATGTCCTCTATGTTCAGGTCCGTCTTGTTTAAGAAAGGTGGAAATTAGCATCCTCGGGTCTTCTGGTTTGTACGAAGGCTCAAATTTGTGCTCTCGGTTTTGTTCTTCTTTATGATCGCCGTCTTCATCTCTGAAACTCTGACGTTCATCCCTGTTCCTGTTGTACTTGGAACTGTAGCCCTCGTTCGCGATGTGCTTACTCTGTTGGAAGTTCAGCCTGTAAGGTTTCTGTTTGGTTTCCGGTGCGGCTTCTGCGGGGTTGAAGTCCCCTTCGGCATGGCGAACGTGGTGATATTCTTGCGGCTTTGGGAATTTCGGCTCTTCACCTTTGAATCTCTTCCCGTGGTTGTTATACACTTTAAAGTAACTTTCAGACCTTGACGGCACCGAGTCCTCTCCGACTTCAGTCTCCAGATTCTGCCTTTTCCCCGGGCTGTGGTGTATCACGACCGAACTGTACGACGTGACGCTACTCTCGGCGATGTTGTCGTCCATGTCCTGCCTCTCCTCGGCTTCCAATTTCTTAACGCCGACATCCGGGTCTGCCTCTTCCGCCAAAACGACGGCCACCAAAGCAAAAATCTGCAACAAATACAGTACAGGATTAAATGCAGAATAGAAAATTTGTAAAAGTGAAAAGTGAAAACGAGGCAACCCGAGGAGACCTTGTGTTTTCGTTTTTGGAAAATCCGTTAACGAGCCGTGTCCACTCGTACTACGTGTCTCGATCTAGGTCGTATCCACATATTCAAAAACTTGCCTTTGATCTTTTAAATGATAACTTGGTCGAATTATATGCTCTTCTGAAATGCAGCATACTTGTGAAAGCTTGATTTTTTTAAACATTCTAAATCGATGAAACACCAGGACCAGCCAGGTATGAAATCCTTTTCTTAAGTCTAGGAACCTCATGAACTCAAAGCCCACGCATAAATTACCACATTTTTTCAACGTGCACCGAAATGTATTTAAGTTATTTAAAAAAAGAGAGAGACACTATCCTTACTATCAAATTTTTTTTCACACCGATTTAACTATGATTACAATTACTATGATTTAAAAAAAAAATTTCATCATACATCTTAGAATTTCAATACAATACAAAACAACAAAATATATAAAATATCGTTTTGCACAGTTATTGTGAAAAATACCCTCAATTAGACGAATTTAATTAATAAAATAACTTTTTTACCTAAGACTAGTATCATTTAAGAAAATAAACATAACATCCAGCCTAGAATACCAACCAACATGGAATTTCTAGACCAGTCTAGGACCGGGTAACTTTCTTCGAATATCATTTTTCAGATTGATTGATGCGAACAGGATAAGGCCGTCATTTTCCAATTCCTCTGGCGGTGCTGCTAAGTAATCTTTTAAATAACAATTTGTGAAATTAGCCCGGACCGAAAGCTGCCCTTTACAATTATTTACATAACTTCGTTAAGTTTTGAATTTCAAATGGCTCATTACAGGCCGATTAAAAGAGCAATACGTACTGGAGGCATCATTATAAATTATACTTTCTCAAATAATATAGAGTTGAGGATGATCATATCAATATATCTTTCTATTCTGATTTTTTATTAAATCCTAACGATCATTATGAATCTAATGAATTTCATATGAGATTTCTGTTTTACTTTAGCAATACGACTTATGATCTTTTAATATTTATTTTTTAAATCCATTATATTTAGAAGTCTATTGACCAAATTACTTCTTTCCATTAATTAATCTTTTTATGTAAGGTTTTGGTTGAAATGAAAAAGCTTTTGTCACCAGCGGTATTCGAACCCACGACCTTCGGCCTAATGTGCTTCTGCTCTACCACTTGAGCTATCGTGACTTCGATCCACTCGGACAACTTCACACGATAGCTCAAGTGGTAGAGCATTGGCGTATTTAGCCGAAGGTCGTGGGTTCGAATCCCACTCGTGGCACTACCTTTTTCATTTCAACCAAATGAAACCAACCACGAGCGAGACCTTTACTCCGGGCCATTTCTTGTTCGTACCACGATCCTAAATAACCTTGTACCATGAGATGTCTATTTTTCAAACGAATGAAGAAGCTAGGTAAACATTTTCTTGAACCTACAACCTTTCGGATTTTCCTGATCACACGACATTTGAAAAATGGCAAAAAGGAGGGAAAATTCGAACTGTTGTAAGGTTAAGATGGGGAGTTGGTGTCCAAGTGGATCGATGTCACGATAGCTCAAATGGTAGAGCAGCGGGTTACTGAGCCGAAGGTCGTGGGTTCGAATCCTGCTCGTGGCACTACCTTTTTCATTTCAACCAAAACCTTACATAAAAAGATTAATTTATTTTCTAACTTCATCTCCTCTATTCTATAGAGGTAGACAACCAAAAACATACTTTCATCAAAATTAGTTTTTATTTATTTATTTATTGTTAATTGTTTCATTTTCATCGAGCATTCATAAGCATAAAATAGCTGAAGAAAAGGAGCAGGCAGCATCCCGAAATCGATAGATGTAAAATAAAATAAATAAAAATAAAGACTACTTTTTATGAAATTTTGCTTTTGGTTGTCTACGTCTATGGAATGGAGTGAATCAAGATAAAAATAAATTTTTACAATAACCTACGGAATAAAATAACAACAAAAATATCATTATTAATATATGATATTACCCATTTTTTAATATTTACTATCGGCTAAAAATATTTAATTTTTACATGCTTTTACTCATCTTAATCTCATTTTGTGACTTTTTGTCTGAACCGCTAATCTTTTTATGAATTTGAAGCCACAGTTTACTTTTTTATTTTGTTTTTATGCTATTGTACGCTCGTCATATTCATTGTTTGACTTATTAATAGAGTATACGCAAGGTCTAAGGTACACATAATTTCAGTAAATAAATAAAATTTATGTTTCATACAGGCTGGGCACATGAGCATTCTACATGATATTTGTGCACCTATTTGCAGACCAAAAAACACCATCGAGAAAGTCTATATTGTCGTCTTAAAGCTACTGTCTCGATTGTTTTCAATCTATTGTTCATTGATAGATTTTTTGTTAAATATCGCCGGACACAAATGACTCACAAATGATTAGAGACTTGGCCAAGGAGCGCCTTTGGTCACTTTTTGGACAATGGGCAGAATTTGAGCCCGTGCGTGACACGACCACGACGAATTGTAAAGACTTTCGACGGGAAAACTGTGAGAAAGTCCGGGTCGGCCAACATGCTCACCGTCAGGTCCCACAACCCTCTCTTAGTTGATGAAAAAAAAAATTACACAAAAAAAGTAAAATATACAAATTGTAGTTTTTAGTTGACAGGGAGAAAGTTGAGTTTTTGATAAACCTGTACGTGGTCACCGTAGAAAAGATAAACAATAAATCAAGCATCGTACAACTTATTACTAGATTTTTACCTGCCACAAAGCTTAATAATTAACATATTTTGCGACTAAATCGTACATAAATACAGTAGAGTTTCTCCAGCCCGAAATGATTCTGACCGAGTCTTGTTCATTGTCAGAGTAATTATAATTATGGAGGATATGTGACATACATTAATACTTTGAAAAATAACTTCAACGTTTTGAACAAACAAGGATGATAGTTCTGTCGTTTCTGATTTTTTTTTTTTTTCAATTTGTTAATTGTTTCCTAATCGAAGGTAGTTGTAATGTACTGGAGATATTAAAGACCAAACCAAAATAAAAGTCTGTTCATCAACTTTAAACCTCTTTATCCTATTAGAAAGAATGTCGTTGTTACATTTTGTGTAATTAGCGGGTAAAAAATCGAAATTTTTATGAAACTTGAATTCTAATTGAAGATTGAAAACTTTTTCATGTAATTCAAGGAATACCGTCGAAATAAATGTGTACTACATTCCTTATAACCCTTTCAATATGGAAATTCGTGTAAATTAGTATAATTTATTCGAATCGTTCAGTTCAGCAGAAATAAATTGATCGTTGGATTAATTAATCGAAAGTGGATCTTATCGGTAAAACCACTACGTGCTGTATTCGATTTATAATTATCCGCCTTATATTCCAAATCTCACGAAACGACTAATTCGGTTGTAGAAAGCTCGGAATGCAGAAGACTCATAAAATCTGGTTTTCACTTGATCAACTTTATGTTTGATTATGATTTCTGACACGAAAAAATAATAAATTCACTAGTTTAGGACAATTCAACATAGCATATATTCAGGACTATGATACACACACATACGCACATACAAGCACGCACAGAGTGTTGAAAAAAGATATGGAAAGATAAATAGAGACTGTGGGACAATGAGAAAAAGAGTAATATAAAAAAAACGGCGAAAGATAGAGATAGAGATAGATATACCGAGTGAGAGAGAGAGAGAGAGAGAGAGAGAGAGAGAGAGAGAGTGTGAGAAATANGAGAGTGAAGATGTGATAGAGGAGAGAAGTAGGCAGAGAGCTTTAAAGAAATCTGTTTAGCGTATAAAATATACATAGTTAATGAAAGTTAGTTTTTAATTTTGAAACTAATTGACCAAGTCGAGTCTATCTAAAAACGGTTCAAGGAAGATATCTTTTGATAATTATGATAATTATTTCTCCGCACAAGAGTGATGTGACGGTGTAGCTTACCCGTCTGTAATTAATTGCGCTCTGGAAAGCAAGTAAACCACGTTCGTTTTGCGGATCTGAATAAGAATGGCTTTCTAGCTTTTCTACACTTCTATCTTGGCTGGAAGTTCCAATTAGGCGGACGCAATTAATTTTGTCGGAATCAATAGAGCAAGGCGTTCACTAGAAAATCGGTTTTTACACCCTCGTAGTATTTGGAACTCTGGGGAAAAATGAGCGAAATGGGTCGCTTGTCATTTTTGTACGGGTCTTATTACTTATCCGTTAAACATTCCAATTAATGGAAAATGTATGAATTTTTTTCAGGTCATGTCACATCTTGAAACAATAAACCATATTTCATTATTTACGTTTCGCTGCCACTGAGTAAACCAATCGACAAACAAACCACACTTTTTGGTTCTTTTCTTCGCTTCATAACGCTGCTCAAGCAGAAAGAACAATTCGCAATTCGCGGTGGTTATGCAGCCAGATCTCAATTCAGCTAATAAATTATGTAAATGGTATAAAAGTACATAAAAAGTGAAAAGTACATAAAAATAAACAAATAAACAATAGAAAGGCAAAGAAAGTAAAAGAAGAAACGAACCGATAAATGCAAAGGAATTGAATTGAAAGAACTTAGAATATATTCATACACGTGTGTAGATTAATCGCAATAGAGTAACAGTTAAATTGAATAACAGGTAAACCAATACAAAAGAGTAAAGATAGATATATAAATAATAGATAGATAAGTAATAAATAGATAAGAACAGAGTGTTAGTAAGCGAAAAGTGAGAAGTATAGAGGTGCAGAGATATTAATAAAGAGGACAATAAGTAGTACCTAGAAGTAATAATGGGAATAGGCAATCAAAAAGGAAAAATATAGGTAAAGAGAGATACATACAGATAGAAATGAAGATAGAGATTGATAAATAGATAAAGATAGAGATAGAAGCAGATACATAGATAG